GGTGGTCGGGGGCTGGGGGGTGTATGGGGTGGGGGACTGGGTTGGTGGGTGGCGCTCAGGGCCTTCCTGGGCGACTCAGAGGCAGACCTGTCACAGGGTCTCAGCCTCCCGTGCTTTAGTAGGAAGATTCCTTTATTTTAAAATGGATTTTTCAGGTATAGTAGATTGTATTATTTCCTCCTTAAAACTTTTATATATTATTGCCTGGATTTGGTTTTTATTCTTATTATTTAAATACTATTCTAAGAATTTTCAGGCCTGTTTTTTTTTTCCTGTCTGTCTGTCTATCTGTCTTTCTATCTAGCCATCCATCATCCATCCATGTAATTTTGGTTGTAGGTAAAAATACCGCAATATATTTATTTGCAAAATAAATTATTTCTGGGATTCATTGGATATGTCCATTACGTTAATGGTCGTGAAAACCTTAATTTAAAATATTTTGGAAATAATCTGTAAAGATAAAGTTTTCTAATGTTTATCTCAGTGGTTATTTCCTGTTAGCCAATTCAGTGTGATAGCTCACTCTATATATCTTAATTTATAAAATAGCTCAAAGAATTCTTAAACTACAAGAGAGTCACGGAATCAGAACTTACATTTGAAACACACAACCTCCGTGGACTGTCGAGAATTTCCTGTAATAACTGTAAAACAGCGCTCGTCCTATTGCCCTGGGTTTGGGGAATTTGCACTGACAACTCGGCGGGGGGTCCCGGCCTTCTCATCTTAAGTGTCCCCCGCCCCCAGCTTTCTGCTCAGAATACGTAACGACAACCGAACGTCACTTTTTACAGTGTAGCCTTGAACCTCCGCTGCCCGCATTAGCCGGCCTCACTGAATTTACCCTCAGCGTTAATCTTTCTTTTCCGTTTCTGGAGCGTTCCGTTTCCAAAGAGTGACGACATCTGAATGGAGGAAACAGAGAAAACTTAAAGAGCCTTGGTGTAGTGATTCAGACCAGGCGTTTTAGAGGCAAGAAACCTCAGTTTCAGTTCTTTCTGCCATTTCTGGTGGGTGCGACCTCACACAGAAGTCCCCGAATGTCAGTTTTCTGGTCTGAAAAATGTAAATAGTGCATCACTGCGTGTTTGGGTTAACGGGGGAGTGTGAGCCCCTTAGCCTCTGCTGTTTTAGAAACAACACTATAACTGATAATAATAATAATAATAATAACAACAACAACAACAACAATAACAACAACAACAACGATGATGATGATGATGGTTTTTTCCTCCGCGCGCTCCCACATTTTAACCTCTTTATATTCAGTGACAGTGAGTTTTAGCTACTTATGCTCGGTCTTTCGAATTGTTCCACTTGCAAGATCTTGAACTCTGAGATTTCTGACCACAGGGCCCCCTCCCGTCTCCTTTTAAAATTTAATCTGCTCCCCCTCGCCCCAGCCTCCGGGCTCTTGATCTCTCTTTTAAAAAACCCCCTTTCCTTGGCCTCACTTCCTCCTCCAGCCAGCCGGTTATTTAAAGCATGTTGTCACACACCGTGAAGCTGCCTGGCCGCTTCTCCTGTCTCAGCTGTCAGGATGCTGCGGAAAATCCAGGGGTGCTGCCGACCCCCCGCTCAGCACAGACGTCCGTCCTTCCCCTGCCCCCTCCGGCTTCCTCCGCGCGCTCTCTGCAGCCTCAGTTTACCCCGGGGCCGCAGCGCCGCGGTCACGTAACGAACGTGCTGCGTGCGCTCCCGGCCCTTCCTGGCCGCTTCGTAATGTGTCACGCTGGTCAGTCTGTATGTCCACGTCCCTTATGAGCACGGGCACTTTTTGAAACAGGAAATAATGTGTCCGTTAACGACATAATATTTAAATTAAAAAAATGTTTGTTTTTTGATGCGATTTCCCTGTAGCTGCCAGGGTACAGGGTAGTTAGTGGCCTTTGCCCGCCTCCTCTGACTGCTGGGGAATCGCATTTTCCGCATGTCTGTGCCAGTGCACCTTGCTCGCTGTCTCCCTAATGCCTGGCATGCAGTGGACCTCCAACAAAGGTTTGCTAAGTTTTTCACTTTTGTCGTTATACTCTATATTATACTTAAAGCCCATCTCGGACCCCAGCTCCACCGGATGACCAGCCTTTCTCGGCCTCCTCCCTGTCCCCTCTCCCTTCCCAGGTTGAGGTCTCCCGGTTTCTCTGTCCTTGTGGCTGTGCTGCGACATCCTCTCCCGCTCTGCGTGTGCTTCAGAGCAGTTACCTACTCAGCCGCCAGCGTCTTCAGGGCAGAGTGTCGCCGGGGCCCTCCCTGATGCCCCAGCGACCAGCTCAGTGACGCACGCATCGGGCATGGTGCATGGCGCACGGAGCATGTTAGATTTATTAGCCTCAGCTCTTCACCTCACTGTTAGCGTCTGTAATTAACTCCTGTCTCCTGTTCTTCAGACTAGCGATTAGACAATGGAGACAGCCGCCCCCTTAAAATGTTTTTTTCATTTCTTACCCTCCTCACTATAAATTTTTAGATGAACTCTATAGAAGTGGCAAAAATAAACCTATCTTAGCATTAAAAGCTTTTTCCTCTGTCGAGAAAGAGTCCTCTTGTTTGTGTATCATTCTGTCATCTAGATTCATCTCACCTGCAGGACCGAAGGGTCTGACACAGGAAACGCAGGAAGTGGCTTATTCTAGTGTCTGAGGTCACTCCTTGTAAAATGACATTCGCCATAAGAATAATTTTTGTTGAAAATTATTTCACATTCTGTTAGATCCATTACAGAACTACACTTTAATAAAACATATAAATTTTTATAATCATAAGCCAAATCGAGTTTAAAAGGCGAAAGATTTATACGATCTGAAGAGAAACCAGAGTAATCGAGAGTTTAAAATCTTCACCATGTCCTTTTATAAAGCAGGCTCTCCTTTATTTTTCACATATCGAGATTTCTCTATTCCAGATTTGTTCAAAATGAGATGCAGAGGCAGTTATAGTAATAATTATACTTCAAGATAGCGCTGATCATTGGGCAAACGTCATTTGTTTTTAAAGAAGTTTATGAAGTTCAAGCTTGTTTTCGGTACAGTAGATTTGAGAGATATATACACACACACATATATATATATTTTTTTGCCTTTTCGAGCATCACGTGGGATCTTTCCTCAAGAGGAAGATTATCGCCAGGGGAGTGAGACTTAGAAACAATTCTGCATGTTTTGTTTTGTGGTTTAACTCAGCATGTTCTGGCTGCGATCCCCTCTCCTCCCACCGAAAATGCTAGAAGTTTTTATATGAATCTTTCATAGAAGCAAATTTGAAAATTATTTAAAAAAATAATTTAAAATTATTACAAAGACAGTAGAGAATTTTAATACCATAGCTTTATAGATTACTGGTTGTAGAGTCCTAATTATTTGATTTTAAAATTGAATGCCAGTCGCAATCCATGTAGCTTGATATTTGGAGAAAAGGAATAGATAAGGAGTATTTTCGTCCGTTTTGGTTTTTCTACTTCATAGAACGTGATATTTAGGGCATAGAAAAGTAACATTAATGAATATTTTCTAAAACTAACTTTTCTCTCTCTTTGTTTCAGTGGTCCCAATCGAGGCCATTATATCGCAATAGTTAAGAGTCATGATTTTTGGTTATTGTTTGATGACGATATTGTAGAAGTAAGTAGTTTCTTTGTTTATTTTTCTTCAAAGCTGTGCGTGTATTTTACTCTTCGCTTTCTTCTCCCAGCTTCTCATTCACGGGTGACGAGTGGTGACCACTAGACAAACGTCTAGGTCTTAAGACGAATCTGATCCCCACTTCATGCTCCTTGACATCAGACCCCAGTGTGTGGATTGTCATCTGACTTTGACAATGTCGAGACTGAAACAAGGAATAGCTTTCACCAACAGAGCTAGTTATAACAAACGAATTATTAAAGAAGTGATTTATCGAGCTATGACACACCTGTTGTAAATCACACAGATCATGAGCAACAACCTGATGAATTTTTGCATGGGCTTGCATACATGCACGTGCCACACCTGTCATACATAAATCACACAGATCATGAGCAACAACCTGATGAATTTTTGCATGGGCTTGCATACATGCACGTGCACACCTGTGCATGCATGTACGTACACACACGTGCGTGCACCTGTGCATACACACATGCAGTGCATGTACGTGCACACGTGCGTGCACCTGTGCGTGCATGCACACACGTGCGTGCACCTGTGCATACACACATGCACACATCCAGATCAAGATATAGTACATTTTCAGCACCCCAGCAGGCTCCATCATGCCTCTGGTCAGCCCCCCCAGCTCTCCTCCCCCCACCTGCCATCCCTAGAACCCACTATTTTGACTTTTATGATTATGATTCATAATGCCTATGCTTGCCTCTAAATGGACCCATCAAGTGTGATTCCTTTTGTGTCTGGCTTTTTCCACTCATTGTATCTGTGAGATCATTCTTGTGGCCTGTGGTAGGAGTTCGTCATTGCCGTGTACTTTTCCATCGTGTGACTAGACCAAGTTAGAAACTCGGCTTTTTGTCTCTTGTTGACTATTATGAATAAAACTGCCTTGATTATCCCTGTACAAGTCTTTCGCTGGACGTATGCACTCATTTTCTTGGGTGTATATAAGGTCGGACTACATGAAATGGCCGTTTGCATAGGTCCGGAATGGCTGACAGTTAGTGATTTCATATAGTTCAGCCGATTCCCAGGGATAGACTTGCTGCATCAAAAGGTAGTTGTGTGTCCAGCTTTGCAAGGAAGTGCTGACATTTCCCCATGTCGTCCGTGTGATTTCAAACCTCCCCCAGCTGTGCGTGAGAGTAGCTCCATATTCTCACCGACACTTGGTACTATCAGTCTTTTTAATTTAAGCCACTCCGGATGTGTAAGAGCTATTTTATAAATGAGGAAATGAAGGGAATGTTTCTAAGAGACGCTGATGATTTTACTGGATTGAAGCAGTTCAAGGGGCTCACCTGTGTACTAACGTTTACATTTTGCTTCCCAGAAAATAGATGCACAAGCTATTGAAGAATTCTACGGGTTGACGTCAGATATCTCAAAGAACTCTGAGTCTGGTTACATCCTTTTCTATCAGTCTCGGGACTGAGGGGGAACTGCGATGGAGAGATTTCTGCCTCATTTCTTCTCTGGTTACTTTGGAAAGGATCATGCACTGATTTTTCAAGAAAAGAGAAATGCAGGAAGCTCAGGGGGCAGTAGCATACTTTGCACACAATAAAGCAAAGACTGTGGATGAACAAGCTCTTCCTATCATGGTAGTTGATTTATTCGCTCAGGTATCATGTCGTCTGTGCAGTTCCAAACGACGAGGAAGTGACGGCAGAGATAGCAGCTCCTCTTGTCAAACAGCCTTCCAGTAATTGACACGCATTTGCTCTTTATTAATTGCACCGGCGATGGTTTGAACTCCTTGGGGCGCAGCAAGAAGCACGAGAACCGGGGGAGGTCGCGTCGCGGGTTTAGGAGGTGACAGGCACCGCGTCCCGTCGCCTGCGTTAAGTGATGAATAGAAAGAGTAGTCAGTGGTCTTCTCGTGCGTAAACCAGACATACTCGTGGGCCCAACGCTCGCAGTTGGCCTTCCTGACGTAAAGCAAACTAACAGCTACTGGACTCCAGTGTCAGGAAGACAAATACGTTCTGCTTCTCTGAAGAAGCTTATAATAATATACAGTGTATGTATATGTAGGGAACAATTGGTCAAAAGCGGCTTTTTGTTTCCCCAAGGGGAAAGACTGGCTTTGTAATTAGAATTTTTTTTCCTTATTTATTTTACTTAAAACTGGTAGAGTCTAAGTATTGTATGAAGCGCCCATGAGTCTGTCAGTAAATCTGAGCATATTTTTACTACTTTTTGTCAGTTTAACTAGTCCTTTCGTTTGTTTCTGTTTTTTAAGATGGATTTTTCAACTCTATTCGAAATCAGTAAGATTCTTTAAAAAACATTGCAAGGAGGAGGTAAATATTCTTTTTCAGGAGGAACTGATATCTCTGGCTAAATAGTTGTCCTTTTGTTATAGTTGATAAGTCAGTTATTTCATTCAGCTTTAATTTCAGTAAAATAAGAAACTATCAAGAATTCCCTTATAGTTGTTGGAATGGTGAAAGAAATCCCGGTGCAGTGGTGATATACCAGTCTTTAGATTTCTTAAATACTCTGATGTTTCAAGTTGAGGCCATGTTTGGAAAATTCATGTCGTAGCAGTTGTTATTTTCAGGCGTCATTCTTTACCTGGGAAAGAAGAAATCCGGTCGCTGAAACCCCAGCAGCGTGGGTGGTTAGCCAAAAACCCTCTGAAGGTCAGATTTTAATGGCGTAGACCAGGAATACACAAGCAAGTCCTCTTCCCCCCTCCGCCTTTACACACCTTCCTGGAAGAGTGTTCTGGAAGTTAAACTTGATGTTTGTTAAGACTCCCTTCCGTCGGGAGTTTGAAGCAGTGTGTGTGTAACGTGCCGTGTGTAAATTATTGCAGTTGACACTTGTCCGCGCATCACAGTTCTCTGACAGTAGCCGAAAGCCACTTGCAGAAAATAATCGAATATACGTTCAGAATACTAGCAATCAATCAGGCCATGGATGTTCTCGATGAACCTTTTCAGGCAGACATCTTTTTTTTAATTGCTGTCATTTTCTAATTTTACTAATACTGTTGACTACGAAAAACAACAAAAAAGAATGTTTTTGTCTGCTGCTATTATTAACATTTATTATTTGTATCTTTTTAGCTCAGGAAATGACTTCACCTGTTCGTTCCATGAACATATCTTCAGCAGGGTCCCGTAGCTAACTGGGCTGTTTAACAGATGTGCCGGCAGAAACCGTGACGTATTTTGACAAATTGCTTCCCAAGGTGTCGTTTCTAAAGCCTTCCCCCGGCTGAAATTGTCCCGTGCAGATCGTGTAGCCACATCTGCCAGCATCGCACAGACAGCCAGAGCCAAGAGTGTGGGGAGACCACAGCGGTCGAGCCGGATACGTTTTTCTTTTCGAGGGCTCAGACCAACTTGTGTGGGAATGTCGAGCTGTATTTCTGCAGCTTTTGGCACAGGGGAGGAGAGCGGAGTGAAGCTGAGTCCATTCGCACGTGTCAGGCCACCGCACGTGCGAGAAGGATGCGGTCATTCGCGCAGAGGTGCGGGGCCAGAAAGCTGCGTCGCGCATCTCACAGGGAAGGCCAAGGTTAAGTTTCACGTTACAGCAAGTTGCGGCTTTTTCGTGGAGTTCCGCGGCCGCACACCGTTCACACCGTATTTCATAGTATGATTTGTCAGGGGAAGGGGCCGTGGGCGATGGTTTTCAGTTTACTTTTTACTGTCCGTGCAGCTGCATCTGAGTAAAATGTCGGGAAGCTTTTCAGAAACTCAGTATGCTTTAAAAACATCTAGGGCCAGGATTGGGGGGACCGCAGCGAGAAGGGTGATGCGTACAGAAAGCGTCTGAGGTTGTCTGTCGGCTGACTGGTTAAATGAGGGTGGCCGGAAGTCGTAAGTGGTGGCCGATTGCTCTCTGTGTGTCCGTGTTTGTTGGGATGGCTGTCCCGTATTTTGTACATTGGAATAAAAATCTCTATAAATTATCATAAAGGTAAATATTCTAAATCAAGCCTCACTTCTCAGTCGTATGGCTTCTGTCTTGGAAACGTTACCTGTAGAACATTACGGAAGGCAGGAGCCACGTGACTCAGGAAAAGGGAGCGAAGGAAACGTGTAATAGGTGGGTCTGTGTTGCCTCGAACCATCAGTGTAGGGTTTTTTCCTTGACAGCAGTAGAAAGACCTCGTTTTCATAACATACTACTCTTGATACTTTCTTTGAAGCTACTTTCATTAAAGATTCTGTCATGAGGCGATTACCTGGGAGCTGGGAGGCTGAGGCGCTCGGGTCCCGGCTCCTCAGTGGACTTAACTGTGTGACCTTGGGCAAGTCACTTACCCTCTCTGTGCTTCAGTCTCCCTATCTGGTGAAATGGGGGTAATACCTACCTCACAGGGTTGTTGTGGGGATTAATTAGATATAATGTCTGTAAAGCATCTAAAGTTCTTGAAGAAGGCGCTATATAAATACAAAATAATCTATTAAAGTTGGTTTATTTGTGCTTGTCGGTTTTAAGCGTGTTTTTTTCTTTTTGCCTGAAATGAATTTGCCAGCTAGAAGTACACACTTTGGAAATCGTCTTACTGCTTTTGCTCAAGAGTTTTTACTGCCGTTATCCAAAGAGATTTTCCCAGAACAGCTTTCCACGCTTAGCTCTCTGTGGAGCAGTGTTGTCTTTCCAGAGATCCCGAGTTTAAACATTTCCATTTAGAATCGTAGACTCTTAGAGGGGAAAATACCGTAAAAGTCACCGTTCCTGGCACCGCCCTCACCCCCTTCCGGTGTAATACCTGCTCCTGTAAAATCTGCACTGTGACTGCGCTACCTGAGTTCGAGCACCTGACGCCTTTACACGGAACCCGCCCCCCATCTCACCTCTCGGGATGCCTCTTCTGGAAGCGCTCCTGTTTATTCGTAA